CTGTAATGTAGCTAAATATACATAAAGTTATGTGATGTAAATCATGGTAGAGGATTCCAGCTTTTGTTTTTATTGTGATCGTATGGTCTTTTATTGTATTATGACTTTTTAAATTATACTGTATTCCTCCTGGAGAGATTTATTTTGGAGGCATTTGGGGGTTGTCCGCACTGGCAAAAAGAAATGGCTTTAATTTGACTTGTGGCCTACCTTTTCATACAATGTATGAGCCTGAAATGGGACTAAACAGAGATGAAGTCACATTCCAGGGTGAAAAATCAGAATGCCCATTTGCTCCATTCTAATGAGGAAAGTGTGCATTATTGCACTGGCATATAAACAGCATGACATGAGTGCGGGAATGCGGGAAGGCCCAGGTGGCTTACAGAAGCAATCTGGAGCGTGTGCCTTGGGCCCGTGAAATGCAGCCATTGGTGCCATTGTTCACCATATGGTTTTTCCTTTTGTTGAGCAAACAAGCACACAATTAGCCAGCTGCACCACTGACCCATTGCTCCATCACAAACCCCATGAAGTGGAATTACGACAAAAAGGGCAGGTTGCCAATAATCCAATGGATGTAATAAATAAATGAATAAATAAGGCAGTCCAATATGGGACCATGGGGTGAATGGGGTGAAGAGGGCATGTATGGGAGGCCTCCATGATTGTGCTTTGCCAATGTGTCACTGGTCACACCAATGCACTGTAAGGGTGGTGTATCGCTCATGGACTGTGTGGCCGGTCACATGGAGTGTCCAGTGGGATGGCAGCTGGGCAGAATGAGAGGAGGTAATTGGAAGTCACAGGTGGTATGTTCATGCAATGGTGCACATGCATTTGGGTGGGGGCAAAAATAATAATAATAGAGCAGTGTGGCTTGACATTTTGTGGTGCGGACTGCCCATGGGTGTTTGGTCCACTTTGGGAATGGGCAGTGCAAAAAGCAGAGTTTCCTCATGATTCAGGAAACCCCAGGAGTGATTTGTTTTTTCCTCTCCATCTACTCAGCCCCTTAATAAAGAAAATAAATCTTCTAGAAAACTCATTTCAGCTTCCTGATAGTGGTAGGATCTAACCACTAATCACCACTATTTTCAGAATGACTGACTTTCCCTGCCTCACCTTGCTCCATTTCACTTTGAATCTCCCCCTTTCCTTTGTCTTTAGAACAAACAGAAATCCATCATTTGGATAAAGAATGTGAAAGAATGGGTCAAATCATGTTAGGAAGGGCTTGCCAGGGGAGGGGGTGGTAGATGAATGCACCAATGAAGAACAATCCTGAAGTGGGAGGGATAGGAAATTGCAGAGGGTGGGTGCTTTGTCCCACATTTGGTAAATATTAGTGCCCTAATCCACCAGTGTAGCCATGTGAGCTATTCTTTTATTGTTCATTTTTGCCCTTTTTCGTTTTTCTTTTTTTAAAAAAGGACCTTTTCCAAATTAATAAAATGAATGAAAGGAATGAATGTGCTTGAAGGGATATGTTTGTGAGTGCTTTGAAGTCTTCCCTTTGCCCTCTTCGATGGATGGATGGATAAATGAATGGTTAGATGAGGAAAGCAGAGGAACAGAGAGACTGAGTAAATTAAAAATAACGGATGGCTTGCTTGTAACATCTGCAGACCAAGAGAGTGAAACCTGATGACTGTCACGTCCTTGAGTAATTCATGGGACCTCAATCCTAGGCCTAGAAAAAGAAAAATGACAATAAACCAGACAGGACCATCCTGAAGTTGATTACTAGTTCCTAGTTCCTTATTTTGAGCTGAAGGGAACATTCTCCCAGATATACGATGCAACTTGACACTTATTTTGGAATAAAAAGGAATATACATTTTAAATCATCTTTCTTCATCTTGGAGCCCTCCAACTACTTTGAACTGCAATCCCTACTACAGTCAGTTATGCTGGCTGGAGAATGATGGGAGGTGTAGTCCACCATAGATGGAGGCTGCTGGTTTGAGGAAGACTACTTTAGATCTTTATTTGGTTTAGTGATTGAGCTCTATTTCATGACATAAATAAAGGGTTGGAAATAAATTTCATCATGGTACATATGAGACCTTTGGAAGAAAGAATTTCCTGTGCCAAGCATGTACTGTACTCAACAGAGAGATTGTTCCATAACTCTGTATTTGCCTTCTGAGTCTGCTGTTTTTGCACTTGCCTGAGTGGCTCCTGGACCTCAAAGTTATTATGAAAAAACAAAACAGACCTCACACAAGCCTGCTCCTGCCCTAACTGTGCAGGCTACCATCTGTTATCTCACATAACAAGAAATCATGGATAGAAATAAACTGAAATGATTTGTTGTTGCCATGTGCCTTCAAATTGTTTCTAGCTTATAGCAAACCTAAGGCATCCCTATCATGGGGTTTTCTTGGCAAGATTTGTTCAGAGGGGGTTTGTCTTTGCCTTCCCCTGAGGCTGAGAATGTGTGACTTCCCCAAGGTCACCCAGTGGGTTTCCATGACCAAGCAGGGATTCGACCCTGGTCTCCAGAATCACAGTCCAGCACTCAAATCACTATGCCACACTGGCTCCCGAAATGGTTTGGGGGAGAGAATTTAGCTACAGAATGAGGAACTGCTAGGGGAATGTAAAAACACCAGTTGTTATTGTGGCTGTGCTGTTGCTATTGTTACTGTTATTATATGGTATCATTAAATTATTTGTATTTGCAGAACAACATGAACATTAAATACAAAAAACAATAATCGGACCAATAATCAAAGTAATTTAGATCTCTGTACACATTGCAGTCAGTAACATAGCTTAGAAAGTTCAAAGACATTTTCTTTCTTTGCTCATTACCAATTTAGCAAATGGCCCATTGTCATTGTTTGTTGTAATGTTGGACGAAGTAACATGTTACTGTTATTTATTGCACTCCTCATTTTGTATTTATTTTTCGTTATTTTCTGTTTGGGACTGTTTCTTCGTTAATTGGGGTGAGGAGAGTGAAAAGTGGTTCACAAGTCCTCCCAAACCATTTTTAAAGTAATAATAGGGCCTTTGCAGACTGCCAGAAATAGTGCAAATTGAGTCCACTTTAAGGGTTAGGGTTAGTGCTAGGGAATCATGGGAATTGCATTTTTTTCTGAGACATTGAGCCTTCTCTGTCAGAGAGCTCTGGTGCCACAATAAAATACAGTTCCCATGATTCCCTAACCCTAACCCTAACCCTTAAAGTGGACTCAATTTACATTATTTCTGGCAGTATGCAAAGGCCCCTATCATGGGTTTTTCTTGGCAAGTTTTTTCAGGGGAGGTTGCTATTGCCATCTTCTGGGGCTGAGAGAGTGTGAGTTGCTCAAGGTCACCCCGTGGGTTTCCATAGTTAAGCTGGGATTTGAATCCTGCTCTTCAAAGTCATAGTCCAATGCTCACACCAATACATAAGCATAGCCAAATGTGAAAATCTTTATGAGAGTTGCAGTCCAACAACATTTCAGGGGCATAGTTGCCTTCAAGTCATTTCTGACTTACAGCGATCCTAAGGCAAGCCTCTCACAGGGTTTTCTAAGATTTGTTCAGAGGGGATTTGCCTTTGCCTCCCTCTGAAGCTGAGAGAGTGTGACTTGCCTAAGGTCACCAGGTGGGTTCCCATGGTCAAGTGGAGATTTTAACCCTTGCCTCCTGATTTAGTCCAGTACGCAAACTACTACATCACACTGGCAACTACCTTAAATAAACAGATATTAAGTATCATGAAAGGGCAGCAAAATGTTAGTTCCTAAATTGATGGATGTTATATTTTCACTTCCAGGTATGGGGAGAGGCTGTTTGTAAGGATTTTCAATCTTCACATGTCAAAATAATAATCTGTCTTTCAGTACTAGGCACCTTGAGTTGGGAGGGAAGACTATTTGCTTCTTGGGGTTGCGCTAAGAGGGCTATCCCAACCTGAATTCTCTTAGACCTGTAAAATAATCTTTCATAACAGAGGACACATATTTTCCCCTGGCCTTGTGTCTTCTTTGCCTTCCTCCCTGTGGAGAAAGGTCCTTTAAAAGCTCAGGAAATGTAGATCAGGACTTGTGCATGTGACTTCTCAGTGTGTTGGACACCACTGATGTTTAAAGTTCAGTTACATTCCTCAGATACAACTATAAAAGAGCACTGTATACCTGAATATTTCAATTGCTAATAAACGGAATTTTTCCATATCCATTTGCAGCATGCATGGAGTGTCAGTTGTCCTCATCTGGATATATTTTTCAACTGATTTACAACCAGTGAAAGGTATGCCAATAGACAAACAGCATCTCTCATGACTACCCTAAACCAGTCCAGCAATTGCTTTCAGGATAAGGCTCTCTCTATGTTTTAAATAAGATTTATAAGATTATAAGATTTAAACCAAGAACTGTTTCTGAGGTTAATGAGTCTTGTGGCAACTGAAAGACTAACTAATTTATTGTGGCACAAGCTTTTGTAGGCCAAAGCCGACATCACCAGATGTCTTATAACACACAGTTTCCCCACTGGAATGTCTCTTTAAGGTCATTTCCCAGGCGGCAAGTGCATTGGTTTCAAACAAACCTCCAGGAAGCTGTGTTTCCACAGTCCATTAACCAAAAAGAAATATATTCTGAAGAAATTTCATCACATGTGACTATAGTAATGGGATTATGTCCTTAGGCATGCGTGTGATTGATTGCATGTGGGGAGGACAACTCAATTAGCAGAAGAACGAAACAACTTTAAAAAACCAAATAGACTGGCCTTCTCCAACCAAGGCCCCATTCAGATGGTGAAAATAATCCAGGTTGAATCTCTGTTGTCCGCATGTATCCCAAATGCATCTGATTAAGGTTTTTTTGGGAGGGAGGGGGCTGCCAAATAACCCACTTAATCCTGGATAATCGATACTGGGGTTTTTCCTAAATTTTAAAAAAAGATTCACATTGTCGGTAGTGTGAATAATCAATGCAAATAAACCTTGGATAATTTGGGATTAAATTCTGTATGTCTTGAATGTGTTTTGAATACATTTGGCACATGTGAGCAACCAAGCTCCCAGAGTTGCACAGAGATGCAGTTCCATAGTATGAATAGTGAATGTGTGAGTGAGGTTATTCACATTGTTCTGTTACAAAAAATGTCACAGGGTTTTTTGATGGTCCCATAGGAGGAAATGCCCTTATAGTCCCCACAGCTGACTGGGATGTTCTTAGGGGATTTAAGAAATCTGGATATGTGGCCGATGGGCAGGAAAATGGTTACCCCCTGTGTAGAATGGCTCATGTACCATCGGAGCAGTATCTGTAGAAGGAATCAAATTCCATACAAAAGATCAGCCCTCTTCATCATGGGACCACCAAATGGGATGGTCTAGGATCAAAAGAATGTATAATGAGAAGTATGGATATGATCCAGATGATACCTAGTTAACTGAAAGACAACGTTTTGGTGTAATCATGTTCCCTTGAGTAGGAGTAGCCATAAATGTCCGGCAAATCCGGAGACTCTCTGCACAATTAGAAATCTCAGCTAATACCATGACCAATGGCCTAAAAGTTTTACAAACAGAGGTAAACTCACTTGCAGGGATGAGTTATCTTTAGATTATCTCTTGAGTAAGGAGGGGTTATGCTCTTGGCTTAAGTTATCTTTAGATTATCTCTTGAGTAATGGGGGGGTTATGCTTTTGGCTAAACACCACTTGTTGTCACTATATCAATGAATCAGGCTATATTGAAGAGGATATAGATAAACTACATAAAGTAGCCATTGGCAAAAGTTATTCTCCCAGAAACAGAGACTGGTGTGCTTGGCTAACAAACTGGCTACCTAACATCCAATGGATAAAACAACTTTTTTTGATGGTAGTCATGATAATTTGTACCACCACTATTTGTTGTTTCATGTTACAATGTTTGTTTAAGGGTTGTTGGAGTTTTACACTTCCTATGCCAGAACCTCGCAAAATAGATAAGGTAAAAGAAACGCAAACATTGTATCAGGGATACGGGATGGTTTAGCATTTCCGAGAGGGAGGAGAGCTGTGAGTGAACTAGGCTGCAATCATCCTGGTTGTGCTTGTGGGCAAAAGATCTTGAACCCCCTGTAAGCCCTGACCATTGTAGCCAAAAGTCTAGTTAGAGGAATTTTATTTAGTTCAAATTTTATTCAGGTCAGCTACAAGGATCCACAAGACCATTTCCCTATTTGTATACCAAGAGAAAGGAGTATCCCAGGAATTGAGCAGAGGCAGAATTCTATAACTGAAGTGGTTTTTTTTATTGGGGGAAAATCACACAACAAATCACATACACACATGCTTTCATACAAGGGTCCGGAAATCAAGGGTTAGCTTGGAATGGTTTCAAGGCAGAACTAATGGCGATACTTACACAAGATGAGACTTGCGTCTGGATCTAATTGGTTGGTGTGGCATGGGATGCGGCTGTTCTGGTGAGCGATGAGGAATGGACGCGCCGGAGCTAGTCAGAGTTCACAGAGGCACAGTATCCCCATGAAATTCAGACTAACACAACAAGCAGGGGTTTCGGGAATCTTTTATAGGATAAATTTAGCCTCTGGGCAAAAGTATTTCCATATCTATGGGTGAAGTCATAGTCTGGTGGTATGCAAGGTGGGAATGGGTGCTTGATTAAGCCCATCAGGCTCATCTGGTGAGACATCCTTTGGATAATGGAGGGATTATTGATAATGGAGGTGTTAATGCATAGTTTGCAACTCCCAAACTATCTGCTTAGCTTGTCATGGGGCATTGTTCCCTCAATGGCATTACCTGTTTGGCCACCTTAGGGTGTGGTGTGGATGTGTCCCCGTGCTTTGGGGATTATGGCAGACTGCACTGCAGGGAAAATTACACATGTGGGAAATTACACACATACCAAAATTTCAGAATATCTCAATGCTGGTAACACTATGTAAGGAATTTGTTACCTTATAAAGCATTATGATCATACAGTGGGTCCTTGTTATCTGCTGGGGTTTGGTTCCTGGAACCCCCGTGGATAGCAAATTCTGTGTATGCTCAAGTTCCAATTAATACAATGGCATAGAAAATATATAAAATGGCAAAATCAAGGTTTGCTTTCTAGAATTTATATATTATTAAAGTATTTTCAAGCTGTGGATGCTTGAATCCATGGATAAAAAAATCTGTGGATAAGGAGGGCTGACTGTATAAGGAATTTATTACTATAAAAGGCAAGAGAATGTTGGCAGATTGTGATAGGCAAACAGGAGTGTGCTGGCAAGTTTTGATGGGGGGAGGAGAACTGTACTGGGGCTGAGGTTGTATATGTCTGTACCAACTGTGGATCTGGGTCCTGGCATCGGCATCCTTGAGCACTCAAGTTTAATCTTGTTAAAATAAATCCGTGGTCATTGCTTGTGAGTCTGGTTGAGGCTGCACCCTTAAGGAGGCAATGGTGACAATTCCACTAAGAAAAACATCTGAATGACTCCCTAATCCCCTTCAGATGTGCTTGACTGAGACTCTCATCATTCCCTCCTGGCATGTACAGTGGCACCAGTTTGGAGAAGTCGTCCAAGACTTAGAAAAGTTCCTTTTGGGACTACAGTTCCCAGAATCCACCAGCCAGCATAGTAACTGTGTAGAATGGGAGGGTTGTGGGAATTATAGTCCCCAAAGGTAACTTTTCTACCCAAAGTCACCTGCTTCCAGTTGGATGTCTGAGTCATGGGGCCTGAAATATCTCTGTTAACAACTTTTTAGAATTTAAAGCACATGAATAAAATGTGATTAAGCTGTTTAGTCTGGAACTTCAAAGATAAAAGTTTTAAAAGAAACTGAAAGTACATGAATGGATTTGTAAAATCTGATATAGGTCTGGGACCATAAAGTCTGGGCTGTTGCCAATTTACATCTGAAGAAGATAGTATTGAAACCGGACAATTACCTGGATACAAATTGTGTCTCCCTTTCTGTCCTTTATGTGGTTTGTTCTGCCTTTTACATAATTATTATTGCAATGTAATTAATAGATTAATTTTTTTCTAATTGTCCAAATTATGTCCAGTTTTGGTATCACACATCTGTTGTTTTTTTAAAAGATAGAGTTAGCAATGTATTGGAGTCATAATTACAACCTACTGTAATTATGTTTACCTCTTTTTCTTGCTTAGTTGTGCATTGCAATCCAACACATTTGGAAAGCACTAAGTTGGGGAAACCTGAACTAAACCAACAAGGGTATGGTAACGTTCTTTCTCATCTTCCACGCATTCCAGAGATGTGCCCTCTGCCTTTGGGGAAGCAGAAAAAGCCCTTGATCCTTTCAGATGTCTTTTTCTACACATTTTCCAAAAAGAGAGAGAGAGAGCTCACTGGTGGCTTGACACAAATAAATGAGGCTGCCTCAGGAATCTGCTTCCTGCTTCACATGTTGCTTTATGGTACACCATAGGTTAAATACCATGGTGCTAGTGCAATTACAGTAATGACAATTACATTGTAATACCTTTTTCTTTTATTTTTAGCCCTTGGCTAATAAATAAGGACATGTATCAATGATATAGTGAGTTTCAAATATTCATAATTAGCACTGTCTCATTCATCCTTATAACAGCTCTGCAAGATGGTCTATTCCTAGGACTTGACTGCAGAGACCATAATTCCTATTCTACAGAAGAGTCCTCTATTTGAAGGTTTCCCCTATTTCAAGCATTTTCAGATGACATTCCTCTATTGAAAATGTCCTCTATTTCAAGACTGTTGAGTCCAAGAGAGCAAAAAGGGGTCCATTCACAGTAAGTACTTGGTCAAACAGGTCATCCTTTCATACTACACAATTATAGCACTATGATTCCACTTTAACTGCCATTGTTCCACCCTATGGAATCCCAGGATTTGCAGTTTGGGGAGGTACTTAGAATTCTGATCCAGAGAGCTCTAGTGCTTCAGCACACTACAAACCACAGGATTTTACAGAGTGCAGTCATGACAGTTAAAGAGGAATCATAGCAATCTGCATGTGCAGTGTGGATGGGCTCCTAGGTGCAGTCTTTTCCAATATAGTATGACAATTAATGTATGAAATTGTATGCAAAGTGCCCCTGTTTGGCAATATATTTCCATCTGTATATTGGAAACTTATTTTTAGTTTTAGTTTTACGCTATTCTTCCAATAATTGTTTATTTGTAGCAGGAAATCAGGCCCTAGGGTCCCGGGCTGTTTTGTCTGTACTATGTATAGCCCAATGCCACCTTTATAAATCCTCCTGCATCTTTCCTCCAACACCATCTGGATTCTGTGCCTTTCACTCCTCCTACCTCTCTGTTTTCCTCCTATCATATATCAGATGTTAAATAATTTGGCAGTGGCAGGTAAAGCCAGGTCAGGTCGAAATCCACACCTCCTTCAGGACAAACAGCATGAAATGAGAGCAGGCCCATCGTCTATGCCCAGTTATCAAAGAAGAGTGACAAGCAAACTAGTTTGAAACAGCAACTGGCAAGAGCTAACAATACTGCATGGCAACAGGACAGGATTACAGTCTTGACCAGGTGCAACCTCAGAACTTGCAAAAGTTATTTTTTCTGAACTACAACTCCTTTTTTCCAAGCTTTGAGAAATCAGACAGCTCCTACATAGGCATCAGGCAAAGCTAAATATGCATCAGTGATTTGCTTTCACTGTTTTTCCTTTCTTCATGAGAAGCAAAGAGCACTGCCCATCTGTAATCATTTCCCATCTTTCTCAGGGAACATTTTGCTAGCACTATAAAGCCCTGAGGATGGGGATGGGTAAAACTTTCAGTTCAGTTGATTTTTGATAAAAATTACCATAATATACACATATCCTCTTAGGCTGAAAAGAACTGAGATTTGGGGGAGAAAAATAAAAGCTGATGGACTCACTTATCCAGGCCTAGGATTTTGAATGTTTGTTTTTTTCGGAGTTTTACTTTGAATCCCAGTGTATTCAGCCATGCGTGTGGTGCTCAATTAGGGTGGCCACTGGCCACTCCTTTTCTCTTGCTGAGAGGTTCCTTATCTTTAACACCTATATGGAAAGCAAGGCACAACATGAACCTCTCTGTGTTGCAAATAACAACACCTGTTGAATTTGGCTGGGGCAAATGTGGGACAATGTCATTTCATTTTTTTTTAAGAATTTGCCAAAATTTGCAAATTCATTTGTAGGTGAGATAGAAAGAAAAGTCTGGGTTTTGAAAAATCTAAATGTGGAAGAAAGCAAAACAACATATTCTCACTGTTACAAAAGTCCAATGCATTCCCCAGCCATGAAAGAAGGCTCAATGTCTCAGAAAAAAAATCCCATGATTCCCTAGTCACCTTAGAGCCACCATAAGTTGGAAACAACTTGAAGGCATACAACAACAGCAACAACAGAGCATACTGTGAGTTGTAGGACAAAAACATCTGGAGGGCCATAGTTGCTCACTCTTGCTCTGCTGAATAGTAGAGCTGAATGCTCACTCCCTTCCAAACCCATGTGGGGATATTAGCAGGGGACAAATCCAGAGATATGGGACCTTATGCCATCATCTCTCAATAGGACAAGTTTTTTTTCTTTGCACCATACCTTTTATTTTAATGTTTTAAGTTCGGAACTGCCATGAGTGTATCAGCAAAAGGCAGTCTACTAGCTTCCCTCAACCTAATTGCCTCCAGATGCATTGGATCACCATTTCAATCATTGCCAGTAATATTGGCCACTGAGGATGATGGGAGTTGTCAAGGAAAATATCCAGAGGGCATCAGATTGAGGAAAGCCACTACATTATATAAAATGAATTAATTAAACAAGCAAGTAAGTTTTGGACCACCATGAAAAATAACTCCATGCAGATTGCCTTCTATCGTCAGTACAGAGCTGGAACATTCTAAAAGCAGATAATATCCTGAGTCCCAGTTCCTAATTTTACAGCTTTGAATTTAATAAAGGGACTATTTATTAGGAGCTAGGAACTGAATTTAGTCTTGTGCGAATTGGGAACCTTCAGTCATCATTGCTGCTACAGTAGAACTTTGTAGAAATCTAAAAGAATTATTTGATATCATGAAATGTATACCTTCTCTCCTTTTAAGAGGAATGTGGGGATCCTGGATTGCGCAGCACTCCAGTTCCTCCCCCTTTAGGATTATATTATATTGTCAGGGCTTTTCTACATAAAAGTAAAAGCTTTTTATATTACTGAGGAATGTTATTCAATATCGGAGGCCACATTTGTGCTCCTCTGTGATCCCGCACCCATCTAATAGTGCCTGTAGAAACTTTGCTGTGGAGATAGATATTGACACTGCTGTTCTCAACTTCTTTTTAATTTTGTTTTTCTAAATGGAGCTAGATGGGAACTCTAGTGTTGGTTTAAGCACTGGGGAAAGGGCATGGCTTGGAAATAATTAAAAAAAGGAATCAAGGGAAAGTTTCTGGAAAGGCAGGGGGAGGCAAGGTAATGAAGGTAAGCCTTGCAGCTTTTTTATTGTTTTTAATCTAGTAGCAGCATGTTATAAGAGCAGTCAAACTTGGAAAGCTCGGTGCTACTATCCAGGTAGGAAACCTGTGGCCTTCCAGATGTTGTTGACATACAGCTTTCATCACCTTGACCACCGGCCATCCTGATGAGAGCTGGCAGAAACTCAAGATCAATAATTTCTTTCGGACTTTTTCCCATTCCTGTCTGTATCAGAAGGAAGGAAGAAACTTCCTATATATACTATAGATCAGCCCTTCTCCAGCTTTTTACCCTGGAAGAATCCCAGCAATATGTTCCAGGGCTGAGGGAACCCCTGCATGAAAATGATTGACTGGTATTGTGGTATAATGGTTTGAATGTTGGACAATGACTCTGGAGACTTAGGGTTCGATTCCCAGCTTGACCATGAAACCCACTGGGTGACTTTGGGCAAGTGACATGCTTTCAGCCTCAGGAAGGCAATGGTAAACTTCCTTTAAACAAATTGTGCCAAGAAAACCCCATGATAAATTCACCTTAGGATTGCTATAAGTCAGAAACAGCTTGAAGGTATACAACAACAACAACAACAACAAACCTCTGTGAACAGGTCAGTATGGTGTTGTGGTTTGAGTGCTGGACCATGACTGTGGAGATCAGAGTTCAATTCCTGGCTCTGTTATGCAAACCCTCTGGGTGAGTTTTGAGCGAGTCACACACCGTCAGTCCCAGAAAAACCTGTGATAGATTTGTGTTAAAGTTGGAAATGACTTTGGGGGGGAGGAGCCACGAGTGATGGTGTAAGGATCTGAGATTGTATTCTCCTGAAAGCCAAAGCTTAAAAAGCCAAATAATTTCTTCTAAATGGGAAAAAGACAGTGAGTAATTATAATTAAACAAATTGGAATGTGAGGAGAATAGACTGGAACTGCAAAATTAAAGATTTAATGAGAAGAAAGATAAATGGCATTTTTGTTTTCTGCAATTGCCAGCTGGTTGTCTGCTAAGCTGATCAGAAGTTAAGACTTACAAAGCAAAATTAAAGTAAAACAGTTAAAAAATAAATTTATTGGATTGTGTGGGATTTGAAGAACTGAAACATTGAAATATTAATTAAAGAACAATCAGAGAGAGAAATATAATTAACCGCATGTTGACAGTTTGAGACATAACGTTGGCAGATGTCCAAAAGTCAAAAAAGAGAACTGAAACAAACAGTTTTAAGTTGGAAGAGACAATCTATACATCCATCAGATAAGGCATATGCACGCTTAAGAAGTATAAACTCACAAGAGAATTTTGAGGCTCATAATAAAGCAATGCAGAAAGAGACATCTGGATCCATTAGTGCAATGCAAAAAGCCGGAGCTAAGTCTAAGGGGGGTTGCAGACTGCCAGAAATAGTGCAAATTGAGTCC